CCCCAAAACCCCAAAACCCCAAAACCCCTCGGACTCACCATTTCTTGAATAAACATGATAAATTCTTCAATAATATTTCAGAGTTTACTACTAAATCCAAGTTACTCTTTCAAGGCTTAGATTATTGCCTTGATAGTACTAATATGCAAAGTTCTTAACTCTAGAAATCTTATGCTGGGACATCTCAGTCACATTGAATTCTACTCTGGACTGTCATAAGTATACATGGTATTAAAAATATCAAGATAATATGAAAAATCGAAATCTGAAAGAAATCTCAATGAAATCTACTTTGAAATCATCAGCAATTTCTGTAGAAATTTGATTCCCTTCATGTAAATTTTAGTACAAACAAAGGAGGGATTTAAGCCAGGTTTTATGAATCTGGTGAAATATTACATCGTGAGTTAGATTCAGCCTCCACTTTAGTAATGAAACAAATATCTGTAGGTCCAGAAGAATGGTGTATTCGCTTTATAGTGTTTAGCCAAACTTCTAAGCTTGAAATAACAAGAAATCTAACTTTAATAGATTAGTTATCGGGTGTTAGATTAGTAAGAAAAAGTATTGTGGTGACTATGAAGGTGGATTTAATTTATTTAGAAACAGAACCTTCATTTAGATGAATGAGGAGGCAAGCGTTAGCTTTGAAAGAATAATTGTAGAATTTTTTGAAAAAATTCCAGTATTTTTTAATTTCAGGTAACCAATCACCATAAATTGTTAGACTTAAATTTATATCTGTTAGTAGTAAAAACTATAACTGAGATTTTAGAGAGGACTTATAACAAACTTTTTATATAAAAGAGTCATTTTTAAGAAAAATAAGCCAATTTTTCACTAATCTCTATCAAACACTATCACCTCTCTCAAAACTTCCAATTTTATACTAAATTCCACCCCAAAAGCCAAGTATAACTTCTCACAAATCTCCTGCCCCAAACACCCCTCATCTACCCTCCAATCACCCAAACCCCCTTCACCCCCATTCTCCCACCCTAACCCCTCTATCCCTCACTCCCTCTAAACCTCCCCAAAGCCCTCTCACTTCTTCCAACCCCCTTCCTTAATAATCCCTAAAACCCCCTTTTCCCCATATCTTCCAAAGTAATAATTCCTTTGCCAAAAATACCCCTGTTCAGGTACTTTTGTGTAAATTTTTTGACAAAAGTTGGATTAGTAGAGATGGTGTAACCTTCAATGGAAGGGGATTAGAAAGCTTATAGCTGTATTATATATAGTTCTTAGGAGAATTCTTAATGATAATCAGTATACTACTTCTTTTAAGTCTTATTTTTTAGTGATAACTATACTATTTGGCTTCAGTGGCTCTAATAAATAGGTTATCCTTGTTTTATAAATCTCTTGTTAATAAGTAAATGCATGATTTAACAAGGGTTAGGCTTTATAGTCCCCTTCAAAATTTTATTATAGGATTGATTCTTAGATAAAATATTTTCACCGTAAAAACTGATCAAATAGGTATTAGTATGCTGTTCAACCAATTTATTTGTTATGGTAAGCTTTTTCTAAAATTCAGGTATCATTTAGAATAATTTTTCAAGCCAGTTTTCATTATTTGGGTCATCTCTTGCTTCAGAATAAGCCTCCTGGTTTTGTTATTCTGGCCATAACCGCTCAAATCCATATAAAATTGAAACAGATGATCAGGATTTAAGAGGGTGTATAAATACCTTGATCTGAAATATTTTTGGAACAATCAAAAAGGAATTTACTACCATCTTAAAACTCTTTCTTTTATTTCCGGGAATTCAAAATCACTTTAAACAGGTACTTAATTATTACGTTTTGCTGCTATGATGTGTTTTGGAGAGTGTATTACCTGAAAATTCACATCTAATAGTTTGCCAGAATCTTCCTACTGAAAAGGAGTTAATAAATCTCAAATTTCTATTTTTAAATCATAATTTAAAAATTTCACCGAAATATGTTGAGAAGCAAGCTAAAGCTCCAGGAAATCTCCCAATTTTATTCATAATGTAAAATATTGTAACCAGCTTGCTTTTGATAAGTGGGAGCTTCAGAGAAAATTTCCGGAAATATTTACAGGTGATTAAAGTTAATTATCGTCTCCAAAAGTGAAAAATTCCTCTTTATTCCAGATATTTTCAGCAATTTGAAGACCTGGGAAAGGGCCATCTTGACGAGATTCATATAGTTTAGCAAACTGGCTTCTCTGTCTAATATTTGCTGGCTTCCTCAATAGAGCAATAATTTCCTTCTTGCATCTTCTTCGTCTAGGATACGATCTAATCTTGAAACTCCTTGGTAGACAAGCAGGTCTTTTCTCACAAGTCATCGGTGGAGAACTCTCCTGTATCTCATTACTACACCCAAAGTTCTTAAAAGATCTCCATTTTGGCTCTACTGACTCATCTATCAGCCTACTTTCCTTGCTCCCAAACACATGAAACGAGGACATTTTCATATTAAATCCAATCTTATCACTAACCTTAACCCCTAAAATCTCAGTATCTTCGCTTAAAAAGTCTTCAGAGAGGTTGACTTCCGAGTCAAGGATCTGGGTTCTCTTCATCATTATTATATGTCTGTGCTAAAATAGTATTTATTATTAATCCTAGTTCAGTTATTTATTGCTGTACGGGGTTTTGGGGTTTTGGGGTTTTGGGG